CCTTATGGAAGTAAAAATGGATCATATGCAGTAATTCCTTTTTTAGTGTTATCATTTTTACTTTCATGTTTATCAGGGAAGGAATTATTTAAAATAAGAAAGAAAAGAGTCAGGATAACATTGTATTACTTATATTAGTTCTTATTGTTGTTAAGTGCCATTGAGTGGGTTCTGACTCATAGTGACCCTGTATAGGTTTTCTGAGGAGCTGCTGGTGAGTTTGAGTGACTGACCTTGTGGTTCAAACTGACCATGTGGTGCCACACCAGGACTCAGATATGAGTTCTAGTTTTCACTCAAATATAATCACCTTGAGTAATTTACATACTTCTAACAAGTTTATTTGGAATATGTTAAAAATAAAAGATGAACTTTTCTCATTGTTGTTTTTGTTGTTGTTAAATGTGTTGAGTTGGTTCTGACTCATAGTGACTCTGTATAAGGTTTCTGAGGAGAGACTGGTGGATTTGAACTGCTGACCTTGTGTTTCAAACTGACATTGCAGTAGAGTGCTTATTCTACAGCATCACATCAGGACTCCCTTTTCCCATTATGACCCTATTAATGGTAATTTTATTTCAAGATGGAACTTTGAAACTCAGATGGATCTCAGCTTTTATCTTGTTGCCCTATGTTGTTGTTAAGTGTCATTGAGTCAGTTCTGATTCATAGCAACCCTGTGTAGGGTTTCCAAAGAGTGGCTGGTGGGCTTTAACCACCGACTTTTCAGTTAGCAGTCCAGGACTTAACCTACAGTACCACACCAGGCCTACTAAGTCATGTTATGAATTTGGTCAGAAATATTTTATTTATTTTAAGCTTTAAAACTAATTGGTGCATAGAGCTAGAAGAATATTGGCATTATGTCCCGCACGATTTATAGTTTACAGCCAGGGACAGGTCAATAGGAGTTATAAGACATTCTAGCAACACTCGAGCTTCCACTCACCAGTTGTGGCTGTATCTGAAATGTATTGGGTGGGAATTGAACCTGGATTGCCCACAGGGCAAGGATTCTATTACTGGATCACCTTTGCCTCTAGAAAGAGGGTGGTCGTTGTTAGGTGTTACTGAGTCAGTTAGGACTCATACAAAGCTATACACAATAGAATGAAACATTGCCCAGACCTGTGCCATCCTCACAACTATTGTTCTTTTTGAGACCATTGTTGCTACCTACCATCTCATTGAGGGTCTTCTTCTTTTTCACTGACTCTCCACTTTACCAAGTGTGATGTCCTTCTCCAGGAGCTGGTCCCTCCTGACCACATGTCCAAAGTATGAAAGAGAAGTCTCTCCATCCTATCTTTTAAGGATCATCCTGGCTTCTAAGAAGCAATCCAATGCAGATTTGCTTATTCTCTTGGCAATCATGGTAGCTTCAATATTCTTCTCCAACACCATAAATCAAATATATTGATTCTTCTACAGTCTCCCTTATTCATTATCCAACTTTCACATGCACATGAGGCAAATGAAAATACCATGGCTTGGGTCAGGTGCACCTTAGTCTTAAAAGTGATTCTTTGCACTTGAACACTTCAAAGTGGTCTTTAGCAGCAAATTTGCCTAATGCAATGTGTCATTTGATTTCTTGACTGCTGCTTCCTTGAGCATTGGAGAAAGAGGATGCTAGGAGGGTAAAACAAGAGAAATGAAAGAGCATTAACTCTACCCATTCTATCCAACTGCTACCATTCTCCTTGGTGACAGGACACATACCTAACAATCATAATCAAGTAGATGTTACTATCTCACTGTGTTCTCAGAAACCCTATGCAGGGTGGTACCGACTCAATGGCACTTAACCATTAACAGTAATAGGAGGAGGAGCTCTGGTGCTGTAGAATAAACAGTTGCTAACTGAAATGTTGGAAGTTCAAACCCACACGCCACTCCATTGGAGAAAGATGAGGCAGTTTGCTTCTGTAAAGATTATATTGTTGTTGTTGTTATGTGCCATGGAGTCTCATGGTGACCCTGCACAGGGTTTCCAAGGCTGTAAATCTTTACCAGAGCAGAAAGCCTCATCTTTCTCCTGCAGAACAGCTGGTAGTTTCGAACTGCTGACCATGAGGTTAGCAGCCTGATTTGTAACCACTATGCTACCAGAGCTCCTGGAAACACTCTGCCCTGTAAAGTTCCTATGAGTTACTATGAGTCTGAATGAACTCGATGGCTGAAGGTAAGTTTACTCTTTCCAAAGCGTTGAAAAACGTCAAACCTACAGAAAAGTTATAAGAATATAACAATAAACACTAGAACCCCCTCACCTGGAACCACCAGTTTTAGCTTTCTCATTTTCTTTTCTTGTGTTTCCTGAATCAAATGACATTTAATTGCTAATATCACCTATAAATAGTTTAGACTGCATCTACTTAGGACAAGGACATTCATCATCACAATAACACTATCATACTCAAGAAATTTAATATCTACAGATAATAGCTAATTCATACTCAAATTTCCCCAATTTTTACAATTTCCTTAAAATTTTTAGACTCAGGATCCAACCAAGGATCACATAATTCCTTTAGTATCGTTTAGTTTAGTATAATCCTCCCCATCTTATGTTTATTTATTTTTTTCTTTTCTGCATTTCATTGAAATGGACATTTTTAAAAAAGAACTCAGATTTGTCTTATAACATGTCCTACAATCTAGATTTGTCGGAGTTTTTTTTAATGATAATTCAACTTTTTAGTAGATAATTAGTTCATGAGTCAAATGTATGCATTGCTGTTGTTCTATACATATACTATATATTTTCTTATTTCTGAGACTTTGTACATCGATCCTTTCCTTATGAATGTTCTTCCCTTAACACATCTCTGCGGGTTAGTAGTTTACCTTCTCTAGGAAAATTTCCCTAAAGTAATCTTTGAATACCCTGAGTACTTTAGTATTTCTTATTGCTCTGGTAGCATAGTGGTTACGAATCGGTCTGTGAACCGCAAGGTCAGCAGTTTGAAACTACCAGCGGTTCCGCGGGAGAAAGATGAGGCGTTCTGCTCCCGTAAGGATTTACAGCCTCGGAAACCCTGTGCAGGGTCACTATGAGTCCGAACCGACTCCACGACACTTAACAACAACAATAGCATTTATAAGCTTTTTTTACTTTGTGTTATTATTTTATTTCTTCACATATCTTTAAATTTACCCTAATGAAAGCCACCCAGGGGAGAATAAAAATACCTATGACTTACCTGGAATCTAGCACACAGCAGGCAATCAAGATATTCATTGTTATATTCTGGGATACAGCAAACTGATTAGGAATTAAATGTTTTAAAGGATTTACATAATTTCTTCATAAGGGTGTTTTATATACCCCAAATAGTCTGTGCTATTGCTGTTGCTGTTAAGTGCTGTAGAGTTGGTTCCAACTCAACAGTGACCCTGCATAGGGTTGCAAGGAGCAGCTGGTGGGTTTGAACCACCGATTTTCTAGTTAGCAGTTAGGAGTGCCATACCAAGACTCCCTAAATAGTCTAGCTAATAAAAAACAATTAAAATTATTTTTAGGTTTAGTAAAAACATGCAATGACATGCCTGGATAGTGTTTTTTAAAAATTATCTTGCTTAGCATTGAGGGAAACCTTTCAATCTGGAGAGTTCATTCTTGAGTTTTGAAAAATAGTCTTGTATTATCTTTTTGAAATTTTTCTCTCCTACATATTTTTTGGACCTTTTTTCTATGAGTTGGTTGAAGAATTACAGAGCAAACCATTAGTTTTACTTTTAAAAATTCATATACACTTTTACTTTTGTTTCATATCATTGATTCTATTTCTCTCAGTTTAATGTCAATTATCCCACTTCCCCTTAGGTTTCTTGTTTCCGTTCTTTCTTCTTTCCTAACCCATCTGAACTTTGTCTTTGGGTAAATGCTGCCCTTTTGATCTCCACTGGCTGATTAGTCTAAGGAATGCATATGTCACTAGTGTTACTGTTCCCCTCATAAACCTGCCTGGTGTTTGGCTAAAAAGTGAGCCACAGGGTTGAGTTCGTTTCCAGACGGAAGGGTGACTAAGTGTCTCAGGGTTTCTACCACGTCCGCCTATTTTTTCTATGCTTTTGAGTTTTGTTCCACATTTTCTTTGGTTATTCATTTCTCACCAGCCACTCCTGGGAAACCCTGTAGAGAGAGGGTTTGGGAAACCCTATAGAGGGTCACTATGGGTCGGAACTGACTCGACTGCACTTAACAGTAATAACTGTATTTTAGTAGTCTATGAAGGAGAAGAGATAAATGCATGTATTCAATTTGCCATCTTTACCCAGGCTGTCTACATAATTTTTGAAGTTTTTGCTTCACAAACTTTCCCATGGTAAGTTTGGTCTTGTGGCTTATGTAAATTGTCTGCCTAGAAAATGAGAAAATGTCATTCTGTGTGTGATTATGGGAGTAAGGCTCAGAAATCCTAGAGTTTGTTTTAAAGTTTCCCACTGAGTAATATGGACAAGGGGTAAGTACTTAAGATTCTGCATGGAACAGTGTGAGATAAACACTCTCTTCTTAACTTCAGAAGTCTATTTATAGCTAGATAAAATTAAATGGACAAGTAACTAGAGAAATTCTACAAACCACTTGCAAAGTTAATTTTCAGTTTGTTGCCAGTTGATGCTGCCTGCTCCTGTGTCTGAACTTTCTATTTTCTCCAGATTCCCAGTCCCCAAAAGAGAACAAAGCTGCCCCACCCATCAAGTGGGCCTTTCCTGAGTCCAACTCACTCACAAAGCATTTCCCCTTTGAACTACCACAATGGCTGTTACTCACTACAGATTACTTGGGATTGGCTGAGAATGCAAATAAAACTGTTTGCCTATAATCAAGTTGATAAGAGACAGCATAAATGCATGCAAGTTCTTGTTATCAGACTATAACCTGAGGTGAGTGCTCTCTTTCCTCCTAGCATGTTCACATAAGACCTGGAGAAGAAACACTGCCCCAAAGAGGAAATCCTTAAAGGAAAAAACTCAACAACCCACAACCTGAAATGGGTCTACTGAGTTCTAAAAGCTCCAAAGTCCAGCAAGCTCAGATTCTTCTCCTGGGACTTGATGCGGCAGGGAAGTCAACGATCCTTTATAAATTAAAGCTTGCTCCAAACATTACAACCATCCCAACAGTGGGTTTCAACGTGGAGATGATCGAGTTGGATAGGAGCCTTACACTCACTATCTGGGATGTTGGTGGACAGGAAACCATGAGAACCGTTTGGGATTATTACTGTGAGAACATCGATGGGCTGGTGTACGTCGTAGATAGCACGGACAAAGAGCGACTGGACGACTCCAGGAGAGAGTTTCAGCACATTTTGAAGAATGAACACATTAAAAGCGTTCCTGTTGTCCTGTTAGCCAACAAACAAGACATGTCCGGAGCTCTGACTGCTGAGGACATTACCAGAATATTCAAAGTGAAGAAACTTTGTAGTGACCGGAACTGGTATGTACAGCCCTGCTGTGCCACCACCGGGGAAGGGCTAGCAGAGGGCTTCTGGAAATTAACTGCATTTGTGAAAAGCCGTCTGAAATCAAGAGGAAACACTTCAGCATTTTTTAAGCAGAACTGAGGTTGTTAAAAGGACTAACCAGTGAAAGAGGCTGATGAAGTTGAAGGGTAATCTTTTTTTTAATTTTTTTTTTCATGCCAATTGAGAAAAACAAGTTTCTGTGCTCTTGTATTGGCAGACTTTACCAGAGCTGTCATTTCGCCTACATTCAGTTAAACCACTCAGAATGATATCTAGAAAAAATTTGTTTACATCCAGGCATTTTAACATACTATGTGGTAACGATGATTGAGAAAAGAAAATGTTACAATTTTATGCAAAATTCTAACCTGTTAGATGATTCAGAATAATCATTATTAATATTATAGAACTATTAGAACAAAGTTTAAATAAACTCTCAGAATTCTTTCAGATTGTGTTCAGCTATTACACGTATTGCATTTCCATCATGAATTTAACATAATAGCTGGGTGGTATGAAAATGAACTTTAAATATGGAGGACAATGTTTGATGCTAACAGTTTATAAATCTCTACACCCTAAATAAAGCATACCCTCTGGATTCCTGCCTTTGCAATTGCTGGTGAGTTCCGACAATGAGTCTTAAATCAGCAGATTCTAGGTTGTTTTTGCTTAGAGGCTGTATTCTCTCACAGGGAGAAGTTTATATCCTAAACGTTGTGGATCAGGGTAGCATTTTAGGGGTTTAGGACAGGGTCTGGGCATAGAGTTCAGTTCTAGGCTGGAGACCCAAGACTTGCTTTGGTGGTGGTGGTTATGTGCCATGGAGTCGGTTCTGACTCATAGCGACTCTGTATAGGGTTTCTGAGGCTGTAAATCTTTATGGGAGCAGAAAGCCTCATCTTTCTCCCGCGGAACAACTGGTAGTTTCAAACTCCTGACCTTGCGGTTCACAGTCTAATTTGTAACCACTACGCTGCCAGAAGACTTGTTTTAGTGGCAATTAACATAATATTTGGAGTCCTGGTGTGGCACTGTGGGATAATGCACTGGACCACAAGGTTGGTTTGAACTGCAAGGTCAGTGGTTCAAATTCACTAGCTGCTCCTTGGAAACCCTATATAGCGTCACTATGAGTTGGAACTGAATCGACAGCACTTAGCAACAACAATAACAGCAGCCACAACAGCAATAATATGAGACTCTTACTTGGAGCCTTATATACAGCTCACTGTACTGATTAAATCAGAATCAGAATCTTTACTTTCAGAGAACTTGCAAAGGAGGAAACAACATAAAACTGGTAGTAAAACTAGGGCAATATGTGCTATGTGCTTTAACAAGAGAGACTCTTTCTGATATGGGGAACCAAGAAGTGCTTTGTGCAAGAGGTGGTGTTTAAGGGACTCCCCAGCTCCCTGGGGAGTTCTCACTACCAGGAGACTCAAGAAGGGGAAGGAGGAGAGGAACTGGAGATTGAATTGGAATTCCCCTAATTGGCACAGAACTCCCAGGGTAGGCCATGGCACAAACAGATTATACTCCTTCACCTACCGAAAGGTTCCTTTAGTCTAGAAGCAGGCCTCAAACCTCCACATCAACCCCTGAATACCAAGTCTTAAGGTTGCAGAGGAAAATAAAGGTACAGTAAGTAAGAGTATGAGTGCAGTGGTGGTTCTGTGATAGAATTCTTGCCTTGCATGTGGGAGAACTACATTCAAATGTACCCGAAGCACAGCCACCACTAGTCAAGCTATCACTGTGGAGGCTTGAGTGTTGCGATGCTGAATGGGGTTCAGTGGAGCTTCTAGACTAAAACAGACTAGAAAAAAAATCAACCTATGAAAACCCTGCTGATCAGGACAGTTTAATTGCATTGGGTCAGATAGCAGCAAACAACTTTGGTGGAATATTTGTGGTACTAGGTGCTGTGTTAAGTACTTTCACACATTTTTTTCTCCCTCTCTCTAATTTTCACAACTGTCCTGAAAAATAAACACAATTACCTTAGTTTTGCAGCTGAGGGTACTGAAACTAAACAAGGTTAAGCAACAAAAACAACAATAATAATCATATCTGGCATTTTAACAGAATAATGTTGAAATTCACACTCAGGTGTCTCTGACTCCAAGGCTGTACTGTTTGTTAATTGTCTTATACATAAGGTATGCTCTTATCTTCAACCTACACCTACAAGCCACAAGTATAAGGAAATCCAGGCTTATGTGTATTACTTTTATAATCAAAAGTAAACAAGACAGAATAAAGTAAATACAAAAACATGCTGAGGGAGAAACAGTCCAGAAATAAAGGACCCTAGGATCATCCAGGGAGAAGAGCACAAGTGAATGTGGGACCTTATCCAGAGAAGCAGCGACACCAGAGATGGAAGCTGAGATGGAGACATGGAGAGAGGGAGCAGCTGAGGACTCTAGATTCATGGGAAGAGAGGGACTGAGAGCTTCTGGCCAGGAAGCAGATTTGCAGTACGTGCCCTTTGGTGGTGTAAATTATTACATACACCTGAGTGTTAAAAAAAAAAAAAAAAAAGAGCTAAAGTGAATAGAGAAAAATACTGTTATCTGATGATACATGGAGGGTTATAATCATTGTAATGAAACAAAGTATATGATTTGTTGAATGTAAAACTGATGATATACCCATTAAACTTTCACTTAATTCAAAATAAAAACTAAAAAAACCCCAAAAAACATGCTGCGAGACTGGCAAAATGAAGGTGTTTTTGATTTCAGGAAGATTTAATAGAAGTATTTCATAGTAGGATTTTCCCAAAGCTTCACAAAATGATTAAAATCTCAACTATGTATCTTAAGAAGCCCTGGAGGTGTAGTGAGTTAAGCAGTGGACTATTAACCACAAAGTCAGCGGCTCAAACCCACCCAATGCTCCTTGGGAGAAAGATGAGGCTGTCTACATCCATAAAGATTTATAGCCTTGAAAACTTGATGTAATAGGAATGATTTGACATATATTCATAATGTAGAGGAAAACTTATAAAATAGCCTTTTCCTGTATTTGTCATTTCAGCATCTCTTCCACATCCAGCTGCTATTTTTTTAAATTTCTGCTAATAAATTTCCAGAAACATGCATTATACTTTCTCCCTTTTCTTTCTTGAGATCCAATCTATTTTCTTCCATCAGTCACTTCCTCTTTTGTCAGTGTAAATGTGGCCAGTCTTTCCTTTCTTTGACACATCCCTCCTGTTCTCATCACCATGCTCTTCTGCATCCTCCAACCCGTACACACCAAGACAATCTAACCTTGATTGGATGATAAAGTCCACAATTGGGGAAAGGGAAAAAGACTAAGTGGATAATGCTGAAAAACTCATTGGCAGGTGAAAAGAAAGAGGCTGTGAATTGTCATGCCTTGATTCTTAATACTGATGTACATTTTATTCTCGACCGTTTATCTGTAACAAGGCAAAATATTCCCCCTCCCCATGGGGATTTTTTTTAACTGTGGAAAAATACATGTACACAAAATGTGCCATTTTATCATTTTTAAGTGTCCATTCATTGACATGAATTATACTCCCAATGTTATGCAGCCATCACCTCTATTTATAAACATTTTTATCACTCCAAACAGAAATTCGTCACCTATTTAGCAACAATGTCCTATTCCCCCCTCCCTGACCCTGTTAACCACTAATAACCTTTTGTCTCTATGTATTTGTCTATTCTGTATATTTCACATGGATGGTATTATACAGTATTTGTCCTTTTTCATCTGAATTATTTCATTCAGCATGTTTTCAACATTCATTCATGTTCTAGTCTATATCAGGACTTCATTTCTCTTTATGGCTGAAAAATATTCCATTACATGTATATACCACATTTTATGAATCCAGCATCTATTGAATAATGCTGCAGTGCACTTTGGTGTAAATGTATCTTTTGATTTCCTGCTTTTAATTTTTGTGGGTATATACCTAGGAGAGAAATATCTGAATCATATGATAATTTTATCATCATATGAATTATCATATGATCCCCAAATTCTAGGAGTCCTGGTATGGCACTGTAGGAGAAAGTACTGGACCTCAAGGTCAGTTTGAACCACAAGGTCAGTGGTTCAGACTCACCAGCTGCTCCTTGGAAACCCTGTACTGACTCCACAGCACTTAACAACACCAACAGCAACAACAACAACATAATTTTACGTCTAATATTTTGAGGAACCACCAAATTTTCTACAGTTATGGCGCCATTTTACAATCCCACCAACAATGGGCTGTATCTTAGTGCTTCTTAGTGCTACTGTTGTTGTTAAGTACTGTGGAGTCGGTTCTGACTCAGTGGCTCTGCTCAGGGTTTCCGAGGCTGCAAATCTTTACGGGAGCAGAAAGCCTCATCTTTCTCCCATGGAACAGCTGGTAGTTTCGAACTGCCGACCTTGATAGCAGCCTGATTCATAACCACTATGCTACCAGAGCTCTTATTGCTACTATAACAGAATTATCACAAATGAGTGCTTTTAAGGAACTGAAATTTATTTTCTCATAGTTTATTTGGCAGACTGTTGTTGTTATTAAGTGGTTCTAACTCATCGCAACCCTGTATAAGGTTTCCCAGGAGAAGCTGGTGGGTTTGAACTGCTGACCTTCTGGTTAATAGTCCAGCGCTTATCCTACAGCATCACACCAGGTCTCTATTTAGGAATCTAGAAGTCCCATTTTAGGGCACCAGTTCTCGGTGCAGACTCCCTTGCTGTCATCTCTGGGTTAAGATCTTTTTCAGTTTCTGTAGACCTGGCATTCCTTCACAATCTTCATGTGGCTTGTATCTTCCTCTCCATTTGTGCTTGCTTCTCTGCCCATAACCTGCTCTTTTTATATTTCAAAAGTGAGTAGGTTTAAGTCACACCCTATATCACATGGTCTCATTTACGTAATAAAGATAAACCTACTCCCAAATAGGATTACACCCACAAGTATAGGTACTGGGATTCCAACACATACTTTTGGAGGGGACACAATTCAATGCATAACAGGAAAGTTCTCATTTCCCCAAATCTTTATCTTACTTATTTTTTTTAAATTTTGGTTCAAATTAATGGTTTATTTCCAT